GGAATGGGGGATGTGCTCAGAACGTCCCGGCACTGATCCCGGGCTCGGAGCAGCTTCTCCTGCTCCGGGGAACCCCCTGGGAAAATGGGGAAAAAATGGGAAAAATGGGAAAAACGGGAAATGAGAAAAATGGGGTTTATGGGAAAAAATGGGGGAAAACGGGGAGAAAACGGGGGATGTGCTCAGAACGTCCCGGCACTGATCCCGGGCCTGGAGCAGCTTCTCCTGCTCCGGGGAACCCCCTGGCAAAATGGGGAAAAAATGGGAAAAACGTTCCCGTTGAGGAATTTTTGGGCTGAATTCTGGGATTTTTGTGGGATTTTGGGGTTCTGGCCATACCCTCGGTGACCTTGATGACCTCAGGCCTGAGCAGCTTTTCCCAGAGGAATTTTCCCAAATTTCCCCTTGAGGCCGTTCCTGCTTTCCCCATCCCGTTCCGTGGGATCAGATCCCAAATCCCCCTCTGGAAAAGCCCCAAACCATTTCTAGGATCCTCCAGAAATCCCAAAATTTCCAAATTTAGATTCGGATCCTCCAAATTTGGGAATACCCCCTTTTCCAGCCCATTCCTCTCCTTCTCCCTCACTGGGGACGCTCCGCTGCGGAATTCCCAGGATGGGACCGACCCTACAAACAACCTGACCCTGTTGAGGAATTTTTGGGCCGAATTCCGGGATTTTTGGGCTGAATTCCAGGATTTTTGCAGGATTTTGGGGTTCTGGCCCTACCCTCGGTGACCTTGGCCACGCTCTCGAGCAGCAGTGGGTATTTGGTGAGGCGCTGCATCTCAGCGATCAGCAGATCCTTCAGCTGCAGCCGCCGGCACTGCGGGTTGCTCTCCGCTTCCTTCGGGGTGAAAAATGGGCAAAAAAAACCTGGGAATTCCCAAAAAAATGGGAATTTTCCCCCAAATGGAAGCGGGAATTGGGGATTTGGGACCTGCATGAAGAGCTGGAAGCGGCTCTCCTTGCGCTGCTTGGCTTTGATGAGCTCCAGGGCAGAGGATTGGTGGCAGCAGAAAGCGGCGGCCACGCGCTGGAACTCCTCCTTGGCCAC